AAAAGCAAATTTTAGATTTGTGCCTGTAGGCTGATTATATGGGTAATTATGGATATAAATCCTGTCCATGCTTGTGCAGGCCAAGACCTGAAAAACTTCATTCCCCGCTGGTGGGAATTGAAAAAAAAATTTTGTGTGTGAGGAAAAAAAATAAAGTGGGGTCTGCTCAGGTGAAGTCACCTGAATGGAASCTGAGGCGTGGTGCAGATAATGAGGGTGTTCAATATTTTAATTTTGGTTATTTTGTTCACTGAGTTCATACAGAAATCTGTTCTTTTATGGTCAAAATTCAGATAAATTTGATGTAATTGGGTAAATTATCCTCTCACCTGGCTGGCAAAACCAACCGGCCGTGCCTCCTTAAGCACTTTTCAAACAGGTAAATAAAAAAATCTTTGTGTGACAGTAAGGTACCAAAAATCTGTAACTAAAGAATCACAGAGAATTGCTTTGAACAGAAAGAAAAACCCTAAAATACCCCAAACTCCAGCGATCCCATTTCCCGATGGATTCCCTCGCTGTTTTTCCCCATTATCTACCGGTTAATCATTAAAATCCTCAGAGTTACCCATAACAAAAGTGAGAAAAGACTAAAAACAAAACAAAACAAAACAAAACAAAACAAAAAAGCGCAGTACCTTGTTGGATAAAATGCAGCAGGAGAGCAGAGAGCAGGAGGATTTCCATGGTCCGGGTGGGAATTCCCGGGGTTGGGAATTCCTGCGGTGTTCCCGGTGTGGCCCTGCCCCAAGAGCTCCTCCGGGGCTGTGCGGGRCAGGCTGAGCCGGGCTCAGTTTTATTCCTGTTCCTGCAGGAGGAAGTGTTTGCTCAAGGTGTTGCACAACACCCAAGGCACCCAGGGTTACGGCCGGGGGAAGTTCCTGCTGCTTGGGCCGGGCCTTAAACGTCGGGATCGGGATTAGGATTGGGATCGGGGTCGGGATCAGGGTTGGGGTTGATCCCTGCTTTGGGTTGGCTTCTCTGGAAGTGGGAGAAGGAAATGAACCGTGTCAATAAATCAAGAAATCAGTAAATCAATAAATCAATAAACCATTAAATCAATAAATCAGTAAATCAATAAATCATTAAATCAATAAATCAGTAAATCAATAAATGAATATATCAGTAAATCAATAAATGTGGAGATTGGAGAGGTCACTAAGTTATGGAATGTTTGGGATGGTCCTGACCCCATCCCTTCGATGGAAATAAACCCAGAAGGATGGTGAGGAATGGCGAGAGTCCCCAAAAACAGGAGAGATCCCAAAAACGGGAGAGATCCCAAAAATGGGAGAGATCCTAAAAACAGGAGAGTTCCTAAAAATGGGAGCGTTCCCATGAATGGGAGAGTTCCCAAAAACGCAAGAGTTCCCATAAACGGGAGAGTTCCCAAAAACGGGAGAGATCCCAAAAATGGGAGAGTTCCCAAAAATGGGAGAGATCCCAAAAATGGGAGAGGTCCCAAAAACGGAGAGTTCCTAAAAAGGCTGGTCTGGGCGTGAAGCTGTGCCTATTTGGGGTGAAGCTGTGCCAGTTCGGGGTGTTTCCCCTGCCTGATTCAGGTTGTTTCCCCTGCCCGGTTCGGGGTGAAGCTGTGCTGATTTGGGGTGAAGCTGTGCCCAATTCGGGGTGTTTCCCCTGCCTAGTTCGGGGTGAAGCTGTGCCGGTTCGGGGTGTTTCCCCTGCCCGATTTGGGGTGAAGCTGTGCCCATTCGGGGTGAAGCTGTGCTGATTCAGGTGTTTCCCCTGCCCGATTTGGGGTGAAGCTGTGCTGATTCAGGGTGTTTCCCCTGCCCGATTTGGGGTGAAGCTGTGCCCGATTCGGGGTGAAGCTGTGCTGATTCAGGTTGTTTCCCCTGCCCGGCTCAGGTTGTTTCCCCTGCCCGATTTGGGATGAAGCTGTGCCCTATTCGGGGTGAAGTTGTGCCCATTTGGGGTGAAGCTGTGCTGATTCAGGGTGTTTCCCCTGCCCATTCAGGTTGTTTCCCCTGCCCGATTTGGGGTGAAGCTGTGCCCATTCAGGATGTTTCCCCTGCCCGGTTTGGGGTGTTTCCCCTGCCCGATTTGGGGTGAAGCTGTGCTGATTCAGGTTGTTTCCCCTGCCCAATTTGGGGTGAAGCTGTGCTGATTCGGGGTGAAGCTGTGCTGATTCGGGGTGTTTCCCCTGCCTGATTTGGGGTGAAGCTGTGCTGATTTGGGGTGAAGCTGTGCCCAGTTCAGGGTGTTTCCCCTGCCCGATTTGGGGTGAAGCTGTGCTGATTCAGGTTGTTTCCCCTGCCCGGTTCAGGTTGTTTCCCCTGCCCGATTTGGGATGAAGCTGTGCCCTATTCGGGGTGAAGTTGTGCCCATTTGGGGTGAAGCTGCGCTGATTCAGGTTTTTTCCCCTGCCCGGTTCGGTGAATCACAGACACCACAAACACCGAGCCCCCGCCAGCCCCGCTGCAATGTTTGCTCCGGGCTCGGTG